CATATTTAAGCCTTGTAAAAATTTATATCACATATTAAAAACATCTTTATATGATAAATAAATTAAACTTAATTTTTATAAGATTTAACATATTTATTTATATGTTTTTATTAGTGTTAAATTATTATTAAGTAAATTTTTAAGATTGTTATGTAACCAAACATTTTAAAAAAATGTCTATGACAGATAAATATATAATATTTATAACATGTATTTTTAACAAAAATTAGGTTTAAATCTGTTAAATTATAATATAATATATTCTGACCTAGTTTATTTTCATCCTTAATCATAATTGTAGATATAAAAACATGTAAAAAATAACTATAACATATATTTATACTTAAAATAATAAAATATAAAATTTTTAATATTATAAATATATGAATAAGTATTGTCATCACGATTAAACATTTATGGATATAATTGTTAACTGTGGACATTCTGGAGCCAGAACGGGCCGTTCTGGTTCCAGATGCATGACAAAAATTTGACATCCACGTGAAAGTCATGTGGCATCCACGTAGTATCCACGTGGCCAACAGTAAACTCTGTCTAAATAATTTGGATGGAAGTCCAACATTACAACCAATTAATTTATTAGAAACTAAATTGAGACAAAAAATAAAAGTGAGACTAAATTGAAACAAACAATTATTATAAGGGACTAAAATAAGTCTTTAGCCTATTATATATTATGACTTATTTGATATATTTATTCTATAGAATTTTAATTGTGTACATTATTTATACTATTTAATTATTATAGTTTAATATTATTTGTTAAATATAATCAATATTTAATGTGATTTAATATTAATATAAATAGTAATAATTATATATATCAAATCTAGTCTGTCAGAACAAATCAAAAATAAGGGGGGTGTATTGGTTTAGGATTTCATAGGATTTTAAAAGACTTTTTTTGAGTAAAAAAGTCCATTGGTATTCAATCAGGATTTTATGTCACTTAAAAACAATCCAGTGGTATTCAATCTGGATTTTCAAGATTTTTTAAAGAGTCCATTAAAATCCACTGGTATTCGTTTGAGATTTTTTACAACTTAAAAATAATCCATTGGTATTCAAAAATATAAGGATTTTAAAGGATTGTTGTGTGAGAGGGATTTTGAAGGACTTTCTAGTGTTATCTATAAATACCAGA